CCTGCATAGAATAGAATACATCTAAGGATTCATAAATGGAATATATTACTGTTGCCAATTGTATAATATTCACAGAGATAAATTCTTTGTTTTGCAAACATGGCATAGATTGAACCATACTTGAAATACAGAAAGACCCAAAACGAAGACGACATTAAAGCAATAAATAAGTGTATTTGATGTTGTTACAAAGCAAATAGGTATACCAGAGTAACATATCAAATAAATTATTAAGTACTAGCCTTAGAGGGCGCTTCGCGCCCATCTTCTAAATTAATTGTGAACATGTTCTCTTTGTGTACATCGTAAAGCAAAACAAAAATAATTCGCGGATTTTCACAAAAAAATTTCAAAAATTTAATGAAGATCGAATTTTGATAGAGACAAATATTTGAAATTTTGATCATTCATAAACCTTTCCTGTGGTCACGTGAGGTCCCACAAAAAATTTGGGCCCGATCGGTTCAGCCGATTTGACGTTTATTGGATACAAACAAACAAACACACAGACAGACAAGCCAAATTTAAATATAGAAGATGGGTTTGTTCACTAGAATGGAGTTTTCTGATTCTCATTGTAAAAATCTCCTTCTTATCGCACATTCATCCAATTACCAACCATATTAAACATCTGCTTTTGGTTCTTACCATTTAAAAAAAAATATTTTATCAAAAGCTTATTAATTCATCAAATTAGATTTTGGTAAGCTTTAAAAAATGCGGTAATTACAGGGTAACGATATAATTCTGGACCATGCCCATCTTTAAATTAACGTTCTCATGGAATCAAGTCGACAGTCTTTTTAAGTACATGCCCCCTGGCCTAAACATGTGATTTTAGAGAATCATTCACTTATCATTTAAATATTTGATTATTTAAAAAATCTGGTTTGTCCTTTTTGAGTGCTGGTGCAACATTTATTTTAAAACAAGCTTTGTCATTAGATAGCTAGTAATTTTTCTTTCAATTTTCATGTTTAGTGATCCATCCTGTGTTTGATTTGATCATTGGGTATTGGCTCTAAATACACACAAATGAATCAGTACAAAATCAACAGTTTTAAAGTTAATCAAAGCTGGGAACTATTGTATCGTGGATATTATCAAGATCAATGTTTAAGCTCGATCTTTTGTTAATCCGGGTTATTTTTTGTTTTGAACGCATATCCCATTTTTCACAAGAACACTTTAAAGTTAATCAGAGCTGGGAACTATTGTATCGTGGATATTATCAAGATCAATGTTTAAGCTCGATCTTTTGTTAATCCGGGTTATTTTTTGTTTTGAACGCATATCCCATTTTTCACACGAACACTTTTGATATCACCATAAAATCTTTAAGATTTCTAAACTCAAATTTATAGATCGTAATTCATTTCTCTTGGAATACGTGGGATTTAAGTATCAACATTCAAGCGCATCCGCCCTAAGCCTTAATTCATTCATACGACCCCCCCCCCCACAACAAATTCCGGCCGATCATGTAAACCGTCTTTCCAAAAATATTTTTAAAACTATTAATCATTTATTTAGTGGTATCATTTCAGAATACTAGCTTGGGAACCAGCTTAGGAACTTGGAGTTTTCTCTATTTCTGAAGATCAACCCACTAAATTTAGAATTGTTTAACCAGTCTCAGAACATTCCGGAAGTTATGCCAATCAAAAATCTAAATTTTAGGCATCGGTCCACGATTCATGAGTTATGATCGGACATCCACATATCCAAACAGTATGTTTTGATCCAGCTCTAAACTTATATATTAAATCTAGCTCTCCTGAGCCCGCGATTTCAAAGCTTTTACTCGGGTCGTTTTTTTAAACCCAGCTTTTAGACCCAATCTTAGACCCAATCTTAGACCCAACTCTGCCGACAACGTCACGTGATTGACAGCTTTGAGATCTTAGGCTCGACTTGTGTTGTTAGGCCTAATGAAATAAAAAACTAACTTGGTTGGTTTTGGTAGAGAATACTAGGCTCGCTGTTGTGTCTTGTTCTTATCAAAACCAGGAATGCGCCAATTCCAACCATAAAAATCCGCCAAATTCAACAGTTTTCAGAACTCAATAAGAGTGAAAAATTAGATGCAACTTAATTCCAAAAGCCCATGCAGTGAATAAGGCCCAACGACAGCTTAGACAAAAGTTGTATTTTCTTGATTTTTTAAAATCGCAAGCTCTGATATAATCAGTCAAACGGAAACGGGCAAAAACTCCCTAAATTATGAGTTACTTGAAATTAAGACAAACGTCTCTTCGTATATTACGCAAAAAAAATCTACAAAAGATCTAAAACATTAAGATTAAAGAGTTTTCATGCAAGGAAAAAGAAATAATTCCAATTAATTCTATTCTAGAAAATTAAACATTTGTTTTACAAAAGGTTCCCGCCCCCCCCCTCTATCCTCCTCTCCACCCTTTCCTCCGTGGAGTTCATCTTAACATCCTGTTTCTTTCAATCTTTTCTAGTCCGACACATCTTAATCTTAAGCATAGTTAATTTACTTGATCAAACATACAGAAATGAACAGAAAAGAAGAGTATGGTACGGACTAATGTATGAAACTAAGTAATTAAAAAAATGTTGCTTAAAATAATTGAAGTTTCAGATTAAAGAAAGTAATTAAAACTCCCACCATTGAAACCTGTGAAAGTCTTTTTTAAAGATTTTTATATTTTTATATTTTCCAATATATTGGGCAGCGTTGTACTTAAAATTTGTACAATACTGCAATACATGTATCTATATGTAGTAATATTTCACATGTCATGTATGAATTTCTAAGTATTGGATAACAGCAAGGAATTGAGTTTTTGCCGCAAACTCTTATTTTCTAATCCATATCATTTTGGTAACAGAATGTCGTAGACTATGATGTTTGTACGTAGGAGTAAATAATCTGAGTTTGAATTATCTTAGATTTGCACCATCAGTTGTCAAAGATATAACAATTAGAAAATTTTATTCTGTGTCAAAGTACTTTAAAGACTTGCTAATTCAATCGAAGCATACAACTTTAGAATTGTGGATATCGAGATCAATGTTTGATCTCCTCTTTTAGTTAATCTGCAGAATAATATAATCTTTATTTTGATATCCAAGAAAGTATCTAAAATGCAACCAATCAGAGTGTCGATTGTAGAAATCAAACAGCCAATCAGAATCGGAGAAATTTTGAAATTTTTCCCGCGATCAATTAGAGAACTTTTATTGGTTGGTAGCCAGCATGGACATCAAAAAGAGAGGATTAAGAATAAAATCAAAAGCGTCCGCAGTGGATACAGAGATTTAGAAATCAGCATTAAGGGTATCCGATTCTAAAGTTTTCATCTGTGAAGAGTAAAATTATATACTTTTATGCAAACAAAGAGTGAAGACAATGCATTATGAGCTTTATTTTGGAAATGTAAACTGGTCAAATCGCGCATAATACAAATCCTAATTGCTAATACATGCTTGTAATGAATTATAGAATCATGCTAGTAATATCTTTATTATCTATGTTCGTTTATCTATCATATCTATGCTTATTGTTGACCGTGACCGGCCATTCCGGTCAGTTCTATTTACCTGTATTAATAAATTAGTATAGTAGCAATAGTCGATTTAGACAAACGTATAGAGAGCCAGAGTTTTGGCTAGAGATTGAGTCAGAGAGACTGACATTAGACTTAGAGTCAAGTATTAGGAGATTGATCGGGACCTAGATGTATTACATCCTAGCAAAGCTTCTGTTTTAAAGTCTAAATTATAAACTATGCATGCAAACAAAAACTTTATTTTGTAAATATAAGGATCTTGAATATCTCCAATTAATTTAATTTCTCATCCCAATATCTTAGCAACAACTAATTAAATAGTAAATAAGAGTAATATTTTTAGCCAATGATAACTTTATTTAAAAGGAGAAATTAAAAGTTATAAAATTGGTAAACTCAGTAAAAGTGCTTTTTTAAACCCCTCTGAAGTGAATTATTGTAAAAGCGGAGCTGATGATGAAAAGTGTGAAGTATGATAAATTATGCAAACTACTCCATTAATTTGAACCATCAGACAAGATTAATTCCCTCCATTAGACAAAATTAAAGAAATCAACCAAACTGTGCAGAAACTTTAGCGGAATATTTCCTCGTTTAATCGGTCTCCATGGAGTACTTTTGGACAAAGAGATGTTCGTTCAGAGACGGAGTATAGGTTTGGTCAGGGTTCAGATAGAGAATATCGAGTAAGGTTAGGTTAGGGTTAGGATTAAATATATGGAGTATAGATTAGGGTTAGCATTGAGTATACAGAGTATAGGCTAAGGTTGAGTATACGGAGTATGGGTTAGGGATGAGAATTCAGAGTAATGGTTAGGATTGAGTATACAGAGTATAGGTTAGGGTTGAGTATACAGAGTATAGGTTAGGGTTGAGTATACGGAGTATGGGTTAGGGTTGAGTATACAGAGAATAGGTTAGGGTTGAGAATACAGATTAAAGGTTAGGGTTGAGTATACGGAGTATGGGTTAAGGTTGAATATACAGTGTATAGGTTAGGGTTGAGTATACAGTGTATAGGTTAGGGTTGAGTATGTGGAGTATAGGTTAGGATTGAGTATACAGTGTATAGGTTAGGGTTGAGTATATGGAGTAATGGTTAGGATTGAGTATACAGAGTATAGGTTAGGGTTGAGTATACAGAGTATAGGTGAGGGTACGTTGAGTATGCGGAGTATGGGTTAGGGTTTACTATACAGAGTATAGGTTAGGGTTGAGTATACAGAGTATAGGTTAGGGTTGAGTATACAGAGTATAAGTCAGGGTTGAGTATACAGAGTATAGGTTAGGGTTGAGTATACGGAGTATAGGTTAGGGTTGAGTATACAGAGTATAGGTTAGGGTTGAGTATACAGAGTATAGGTAATGGTTGAGTATACGGAGTATAGGTTAGGGTTGAGTATACGGAGTATAGGTTAGGGTTGAGTATACGGAGTATAGGTTTGCAAGAAACACTCCCTGTTCTCCTCCCACGCAGGTTTCTCATGTTGCCAGTTAAACCTAAACCTTGATAAACTATACAGGTGAGGAACTAGGCAGAGATATGCATCCATGTAACCCTAAGATGCGTAGTAAACTCTAGAAACTGGAAGGAAATCTGTAAAGTTTAGACATGTTGGGTGAAAGTGACATTATTTGTATGGAAGATTTTTGTATGCGCAAAGTTACGAGATTAAAAGTTTAACACTAAAACCCTAGAAGCGTGGTTGTTTTTCACAATTTTGTACAAAGCTTTTAAATTTAAGTGTTTTGGTCGTAAATTTAGTTTTTCCAACATTTCTTTTTTTTGCAATTTTATTATTAATTTTATGTTTCATTAAAATTTAAAAACCACTTTGGTATTCTTATATATGTTATATATATAGCAAACTTTATTTGTTTAATCTTTCTTTCTTATAAAATACTCGATTTACGGAATAAAAGAAAAGGAAAAGACCTCTTGAGAATAGTTCTCAATAATATTAGGATTCTTTTTCAAATACTTTTTTTTTGATTTTCAGAAGAGAAAAATATATTATACTTGAACTATTTTATCAACCCTTATTGCAAGTCATGGATCGATTTTGTTTACAGTAAGAACGACAGAAAGTAAAGATTTATAAAAATATTCTTATTTTTCATAAAAACGTATTCGATCGTGGTATTTCCTTTTTCATGAAGGGGACTGTAGACATAACTTCAAGTGACACATAAAGAGTGACTTGCCCGATTCACACCGATATCGTTTATACCTTTCTTTGAGCAACATTGTGTCATGTTTCTTCGTTTTGCATCTCTACAAGTATTGACTTCTGTAGATTACGTTCTTTGCCTGTCATTGCACTAAATCCGCAAGTTTCTTTTTTAGAGAATCCACATTTAGAATTTTTCAATTTTAAGATAGGAAAACTAAGATATTTTCACCAGTTTTGCGTTGACAAAAGTTTAAAGACTACATGAGTGAATCAGTAATGCCCCCCCCTTTTTCTTAAAATTAATTTAACCTGGCTGTCAATTTAAGAATCTAATAAATTATCTCAAACTCTTTTCATCGGTTATTTATCTATGATCTGTTTCTCTTTTCCTTGGTTATTTATCTCCAATCCGTTTCTCTTTTCCTTGGTTATTTATCTCTAATCCGTTTCTCTTTTCCTCTGCTATTTATCTCTAATCCGTTTCTCTTTTCCTCGGTTATTTGTCTCTAATCTGTTTCTCTTTTCCTCGGTTATCATCTCCAATCAGTTTTTCTTTTCCTCGGTTAATTTTCTCCAATCCGTTTCTCTTTTCCTCGGTTATTTGTCTCTAATTTGTTTCTCTTTTCCTTGATTATTTATCTCTAATCCGTTTCTCTTTTTCTCGATTATTTATCTCCAAGACTCTAATCCGTTTCTTTTTTCCTCTGTTACCTCCAATCAGTTTCTCTTTTCCTTGGTTATTTATCTCCAATCCGTTTCTCTTTTCCTTGGCTATTTATCTCCAATCAGTTCTTTTTTCCTCGGTTTTTTATCTCCAATTTGTTTCTTTTTTCCTCGGTTATTTATCTCCAATCCGTTTCTCTTTTCCTCGGTTATTTATCTCCAATCCGTTTCTCTTTTCCTCTGTTATTTATCTCCAATCCGTTCTTTTTTCGCCACTTTTCTTCAAAACTTTTCTTATAAGGCTCTTCAAGGTTTGAGTCTAAGTATTGCGTACATTAAATGTTTCCCACACAATATACCCCTTTCAAGGCCTTAACTACGTTTCTGTTTTAAACTTTGAAGTTTTTTGACTATAATTAGAGATAGCAATTTAACCCTATCCTGATTGGGCTATTTTTTTCTAATCTAGATTGGAAGGGGGGCGGAGGCCTTTCAACCCCCCCCCCTCAAATTTTGCCCTGAGAGTTGAGAAAATGGAGTGAAACACATGTCCTTATTATGACCCTAGTCCCTCCTCATTAAACATAATTATACCTCTATCTTTGATGGTTAGGGTGCAAGGGATGATTTTTAAAAAAGTTCAAAAAGTACGTCGGAAAATGTTCAAAAATAGTTATTTTTACTTTTGACAAATATAATCACCGAAAGTGTGTGCATCAAAACATGTGTTCAACATAGATAAATAAATAAACGTAGATAGCTTATGTACGCAAAATCACCAAGAATTGTACAGTCCGCGAACTAATACTTCTAGGGTTCAAAGTGTACTTCAATGATAACGTGGATTGGTGTTTTAATGGATTTCATAATTATTAAACCACTCAGGAGTGAATTTTATTTTGAGAACTGAAAGAAGGACATGAGAAGGACTAAACAAACTTAAATTTCTCTCAACAGAAGTCATGTACACCACAAGTACTCAATGACATAAAAACAGCCAATGTTCACAACTGACCTATTTAATCTATATTATAGGAATATCTTTAAAACATCTCTGTACATTTATATCGTTCAAGATGAAAAATGTCGTCTTATGCGCAATCTATCTTTATCTATGGTTTTCAATTTAAACGTATTCAGTTATACGTACAAGAATTCCTCCTTCAAATCTTTGTATTTGCTTTAAATAAATATTTGCATTTGCTCGTGTTTTTTGGGTCTCCCTTTATCTGATTACACATCACCTTTCTCTTTTTGGCAGCTTCTTCATGAAAAACCGGTTTTTATCCGTCAAATTAGGATTGCGCGGGGATTAGCATGCGTGAATAATTACCACATCAATTTTTGGTTTTGCATACTTTGTGTTATCAGATGTTACATAGTAACCAGACAATTCAGTTGTTTAAACAAACAAACAATATTTATGATGACATTTTAATTTTTTAAACTTTTTTTTAAATGTCATAAAGTTTTTTGCACGTGGGTTGGATTGTGCAATGTGCATTTCATGAGGATAGGGATTTCCAATTTTGCAATACACAATTAAATCTTTGTTCAGGATAACATTGAAGAATAAAATATCTGTTTATTGTGAATATCTTTCCGATCTGTCCTATGTATCATATCTGTCCAATAATCTGTTCTATGTATCATATCTGTCTTTTCTATCCTATGTATCATATCTGTCCTATAATCTGTCCCACCTGTATATCTGTTCACCTGCTTATTTAGTCTCCTATATCTGTCCCTTTTTTCCTAACTTTTTTGTCGTATATCTGTCCTTCCTTTGCTATTTGTTCCTCTTCCTCCTGTCTATCTGTCCTTACTTTCATTTATGTCCTATCTGTCATATCTGTCATAGTTGTCCTATCTCTCCTATCTGTCATATCGGTCCTATCTTGCCTATCGGTCTGGTCAGATAAATTTAATTTAAATACATAATTTTAATCAAAGTCAACACCTTTCAATTTTCGTGAACATTTCTTGTATAACATGAGCGTTTATCTTAATCTGGATTTACTTTTAAAAATGATTGAAAATATTTTCTAATCATGAATATTTTAGAAACCTGCGGACTCAAAAGGGACCATCATGTCCTGGTCCTTAAATGGATATTTAAGGTTAGTAAAATATGTTTAATTTATTGTTTCATGTTTGCGAGTTTTAAGAAATTGCAGAAACAAGAAACACGAAACACAGTACAAGATGTTGCGCAAAAATGGATCAGAATTAAACCAATTGCTTTTTAACTAAAGCATGAAAACAAACTCTTTGTAGGTCTATTAGAACCATGTCTAAGGGTACAAAAAGTATAATTGAGTTAGTATGGTAAACCAAAAGGCTAAAGCATTGCAACACTTCAAAGATGACTTGGTCTTGACAATTAATGCATTGCCTAACTGTCTGGTTCTCTTTGGAAAGGAGAACATATTAAGAATAGAAATGAATAAGATACAGTGGTTGGCGATTATATCAATACAGTAAAGACGACGTTCGATTTCAATTTTGATTTTCATTAAGTTGTAAAACAGCGTTGGGTACATGTAAGTCAAGATAAATGTCTCTCAAGAAAGCTTCTCTTTGATTACTTGTTACCAATAAATACTAGACTATACAAGTCGTCCTCGTTGTATTAATATAATAGCCTACCACTGTAACAAAGAAAAATTTAAAAAATTGATTGTTGAAGTAAGGATTCCGTTTTCATAATTCTTCTGGAAACTTCATGGGGTTAGACTAAATCCTAATACAATTTTGATTTCATCGCAACTAATATTTACATAAGGTTGATTACATGTTGTCTTACTATTCCACTGTTATATGAGTTTTACTGTAAAATTCTTTAAAGGAATATTGTCGTTAACATTTGAAGTGACCCAGTACCCTCCATTTAGATCTACAGGACGGTTCTCTTTAACCCTTGAACTGATCAAGAATGTTGAAGATAACGTCGTTTTTCTTGCTTGAAAAGTGTATGATTCTGTTAAATTCTCTATTGTGTCTGAAACAAAAACTTCCAAAGTCTCTTATTTAGAGAAACCACAAATGAAAACAATATTTTTTTTCCAAAACAAAATCATGGATGTTTAATCATACTTGACAAATCTTTTATGTTTACCATGTTGTGAACTAACGTTTATAATCCCTTTAATACGTCACGCCAAGTAAACTGTTAGATCTTTATCCCAGAGAACCGTGACTTTCAATCTTTTCTCTTTTATACTTCTCTGTTAGCATATCCGTTTAAATGAAAAAGTATAAAAATTCAAATCTGTAAGTTCAAAGATTGTTGAATTATTGACCAACGCGCGATTGAATTTAAATAGAAGAAACCAAATGCGTCTCGCCCTGGTTAGTCCGGGTGATACAGGGTCCTCCACAAAGGATGACACTTTACGAGACGATTGTACAGAATTTATACTTCTATTTTTCTATGTCCACTGGTTATCAAGTCACTTAAAAGCCATTAAAAGACAATATTCAGACAGAAGACTAAATTTAATCTTGTGTTCCTCTTATATTTCAGGTCGTCTTTACGTAGTTTCATACTTTGTGTGTAACCCTGTATATATATATATTTAGAGATGAGCCAGTGTTCAGATCTGATGAGGGTGGAAGGGAAACATTCTTTCAGAGTGGCAGGAACAGATTCTTCATCATATATTAATTATATGAATATATATATATATATATATATATATATATAAGCTAACTTAATCATATTAATATATTTCCATTCATTCACACTATATTGATGCTTTACAAATATGTTCATTACTTTACGGGGTGTACATTCTTAACAAGATATATTTTAGATATTTTATTTTAACTATATCTGAAATTTTTACTGAAAACTTTACAATATATTCACTCTGATAATGCTTTATAATTGGTTGATTTGGAAAAGAAATGAAGATTAAATGAAAAGCTTTAAGTGAATTATAACAAAGATATTTTCAATCATAAGACCTCTAATTTAAGAGTTATTAAAAAGAACAAAAATATTTTGAATTTCCGATATGTTATCGGACAAATTTGTTTTCCTCATGCTTGTGCAAAAAATCAAAACAAGAGGAGCTACGATGTCACAAAGTCTATGGCAGTTATAGCAGCCCCATTCTGTCTAGTTTGCCGTGAATTAGATATTCTGAAGACACAAACATTTCTTATTTGAAACGACCTCTTCTTACACTTTCTTTTCCTTGTTAATAAAGACAGTTAGTGCAAAATGTATGCATGGAAGATCCATAAATGAATAAATTCTTGTTTTCCTTTCTTCCAGATTTGTATTCATTAACAAACAGACAGTCTACAGACAAACAATCATTTAGATCGTAAACTTAATTCTGAAGAACTTTTCCCCCCAGACATGCTGCAGAGGAAAGATTCTGGAAGCTCAAGATTCATGAGGTAAATAAAAGTTTAATTAATTTTTTTTTTATAAAACTACTTTTCCTTATACAATCGGAATTTATATAGGACGTCATCTTTTTCATGTTTTTTTACGAAGTTTTTACATTAAGTTTTCGCTAAAAGTATAAGGGCTATAAGCTGCCCTCGAATTGAATTTGCTACTAATTTTACTGTTGCGTCTGTAAGGAGAAATTTAATTCGAGGTCAGCATATATACCCCCTTTCATTTTTCGCGAACACTCCCTTTAAATTTGTTAAAGGTACTTATACATTGTAGCCATGTAATTTTTTAAAAATTCTCTTTATCCCAAAGTTAGAACTTTTGTATTGTGTATATCAACCGTTATGAGAATTGTGAACTTAAAAACAAATTGCAGTACTGAGACGTTCTCAAGTGAAAAAGAAAATAGAAATCAATTTATACACGTCGTACATCTGATATCTTGGAACTTTCTCTATGACGTTTATGATTTATTCTGGAGAGTTTTTTTCCGAGAAAAATATTTTCAAAGATATCTCCGCAGAAAATATGTTTCTTGTTCAGATTTATTTTAAAACTAATTTTTTCTTGGAACATAGTTTTAAATCCCGGCCTTTTTAATCTTGTGTAACTTTTAGAATTCTTAAAATTCTAAATTGTAAAGTTAAAATTTGAAAAATTCAATTTTTCTTTTCTTTTGTTGTCTAACTTTCTTAAATAAACACTATGTATTTACAAAACAAGAAGGTATTTCATATTTATGAATGAAAAACAAAAGACGCTTTCAAATAGTGATAGATGTTAAACAAAACCAAAAAGTTTATTTCATGAATGTTTCTATAATTATAAAAAGTAATAATTGATAAAAAAAAGTCTAAACGTGCAGTTAAGTGTTTCAAACCAACTTTTTTTCTAATTCTGACGGAGGTTTGCGAATCGAAACCTTTATCAAAAAGACTCAAAAAGTTTCTGAAATTAAAAAATATGAATTGTTTTCTTTTTTCTAATTAAGATATCTTTCACAGCCTTTATGTTTGAGGATGCAAGTTTTCAATAAGATACATATTTTGATAAATCACTTATCTTTATGATGGTGAATCTTACGACCTACGCACATCCGCTATACTACACTTCTGAACTAGTCGTACGTCGTTTTACAGACATGTGGCCGCAGCGCTCAGCCCCTCATCCTAACCTAGCCGTAGCGCTTGGCCCAGAACCCAACCTTACCTAACCCTCAAATAATACATTAAACAGTTGCGTAGGTCGGATATTGCATGAGGTCGAAAGGTTTGTATGTCAGGAGCTCAGTGTTTGAAGAAAGTTACTAATGCAAGGAAATTTAATTGCTGTCGCGTATACTCTGCGTACATATTGAAACCAGCTCTCTTTGGGCGGAATTTGTAAACAAGAATAGATGCATCAGTGTTCTCTAGCATCAGAGGAAGATAAAAGCATTTATTTTGATAATTTTGAAAATTCACATAATAGTTTCCTATGAACAGAGTATTTCATAGATTATTTTTGTGAAAATTGATTCCATGGCAGGCTGTGACATCCGTCTTGTGTTTACTTTTCCGCCCAAAGAGAGTACACTGCAGTACAAAAAATGCGTACACCTCTGAAGTAACTTTCCTTGCATTAGTACCTTGGATAACTCCATAATTTTTGCTACGGTTTACAGGGTACCATTGAGTATTGGAAATGCCCCTCTTTAAATGGAGGTAGATCATGTCCCGAATATACGATGTATAACATCAATATTTCAGGATGGTAGTTTTGTGAGAAGGAATGCATCATCACTAGACAATTTCTATACCATCAAGGCAGCACTCAAAGCAACAGGTCAGATATCAGGCAGTGTGGCCGCAACTTTGTTTTTTTTTTGGGGGGGGGGGGTGGTGATTGCACGAGAGAGTCAATTGACCCTCCATGCGAAGATGACTATATGACAGATTCACAACGGTACCCTTTTTAAAAGCTTTGTCTGATGATGAAAGATATCATTGTTTATGATTTTAAAAACTGATTATTTTCAATTATGTTTTCTCTACAACCAACAATGACTTGTGCATTTCTGTGGCAGAAAGCCTATATGAATTATAAAAATGTAACAATTTTCAGTCTATAAAAAGAAGGTTATTTTCTAAAATTATTAATAAGAAAAAAGTTTCGAGTACCGTTGTTAATCGGGCATTGCCATATTTGCAAGGAGAGTCGCTTGAAATTAAGCTTACATTACAGCAAGGTATTAATGCAAGGAAAGTTAATTGCGGTCGCGTATACTCTGCGTACATATTAAAACCAGTTCTCTCTGGCCGGAATTTGTAAACAAGAATAGATGCATTAGTGTTCGTTTAGTATCCTAGAAGGTTAAAAGCATTTAATTTTGATAATTTTTATAATTCACATAATAGTTTCCTATGACCAGAATATTTCATTGATTTTTTATGTGAAAGATGGATTCCATGTCAGGCTTCGACATCCGTCTTGTGTTTACATAACCGCCCAAAGATAGTTCACTGCAGTACAAAAAAATGCGTACACCTCTGAAATAACTTTCCTTGCATTAGTACCTTGACATTACAGTACATTTAAACACTAAACAACATTGTTAAATTTAAAAATCCTTTCTTAACATTAACTAAAATTTGATAAATTTTAAAGTTGAGAGACGGATTATATACTCGACTCTAATTTTTATCTTCTATCTGCTAAATATTTCCATCCAGATAATGTAAACCTTTCATATTTTAAGCTTTGAGGACATAATCCGAAATTTTTGTTCACTGTCCTCTTTCCAGGCTACGCACCGTGGGTCGACTTTACACTGTTTAGTCCAGACAGGACAGTACAACTTAATGTATATACAGTACATGTTGTACCAGGCTCGGATCATATAACTTTTAAAGTGGAGTGCGTTTAAAGTATGACAGCCTATGCGATTAAAAAATCTGAGTTTGAGGCAAGTGTTGAAGTTACTTTAAGGTCAAAACATTGAATGAATCACCTTTTGTTGGTTAAGAAGTTAAATATTACTACGTCCTAGAATCCCTTTTCCTTTGTGGTGTGTTGAAAACAATTGTTTGTTCGGAGCTGAAAACTTTAGAATTGGATATCCTTAATCCCGATCTCTTAATCTGAATATCCTTTGTGGAAACTTATGATTTTCTTAATCCTCTCTTTTAGTACACTCTGAATTTTTTTAGGTACTTTCGTGAATAAAGATTATAATAATCTGAAGATTAGAAAAAGAGGTCAAGCATTAATCTCAATATCCACCATTCTAAAGTTTTCAGCTCAGATAAATTGTTAACATTTGACATTACTCATCGTATACGTCAACATGCTTGTTTACTTTCAATAACTGTGATTTAGCACTTTGCATTGGAGGGAGCGGAATTGGAGGGAGAGAGGGGTGGTAAAAATGGAATGGGGCGGGGGGTAGAATTGGAGGGAGGCTTATGATGAAAAAGGACTGGTTTACTTTGAACACAGATGAATGAAATAAAAATAATCTAATTTTAATTTACTCACATGTTTATAGAGCTACTTTTCTCCCGAAGAATTATAGCTTTTAGTTGTTTCGTTACCTAAGCTTTAAACTTTAGAATTTGATAACCTTCAATACCAATCGCTTAATCTCAATATCCACATTAGACACTTTTGATTTCTGCTTAATCTGCTCTTTTATCCTCTTAATGGATATCCCGGCGGCTGTTTGGGATTCTGCATACGCAACTCTGATTGGTTGAATTTTAGCCATTTTCCTGAATAAAAAACTAAAAATGTGAATAATTTCAGATTTACAAGAAGGGGGGATCAAGCATTGATTTCGAATGCATTCTTCTAAGTGCACAATAAAATAATAACTTCATTAATTTTACACATTTTCCGGAATTCTTTAGTACATTTTCAAAATTTAAAAATAAAATCCTTTTTTGTTTGGCAATTACTTCTTTTATTTCTGAACGGCAAGTTACATTTGAAGAAAACCCAAAATTCAATGTCATTAAATTAAATTGAATTAAGCATTGATAACTCTTTAACTCTTGATCAGACATAGCTCCACAATTGGACAATTTACTCTATTATAGGAGAGTCCCACGAAATTATGACAACTGCACCTTTAAACAATCCTAATCCTATATTCGTCCATTATTAAAATCATTAAATGCCTGGAAGTAAGGCTGTCATAAACCAATATTGAAATGTTTTTGTGTAGAGCCTTGCAGCTCAAATTCTGCATTTTATTGGATCCATTACTTTCAGGGCTGTATATACCCCCCTAAAAAAATCTCCCATGGCACTTTTTAGAATAGAAAAAATATCTTTAGTAAATTATATTTATGTTTTTTTTCTTTAAACCATCATCTATCATGGGTAAACGTCACAAGAACAGTGCATTATTAGATATTTTTTGCTTTATTTTAGAGTTTTCGAGAACATTAGCAAAAAGTATTAATTCTATCAATCTACGAGCTTTATAGTAACAATAGCTAGCTAAAAATACTACGGCGGAAGCTCATGGTTTCAGTGTGAATTTTGGAAGATTTTGAAAGATTTTGAAAAAGAACGAAAGCTGGCACTCCTCCAAACTAAAACGGTAAGGTGCGAGAACAAAACAATCTCTCAGAATCCATCATCATGAATACCCAAGAATACTCACATATTATGCTGCTAAAATTCTCCTCTGCACTTGCCAAATTGAATAAAAATTGAAAGGAATCAGCTGTTACTTTCTAGGGAGATGAGTAATTAAGGCAATGGACATAGTAGCACAGACATTGCTTGAGCTCCATAGTATGGAAGAATAAATATACTAGACCTTCTATTCGATATATCTTTTAAATATAAACGATGTGAAAACTTATATCTATTTTCATGTTGAATGTAAGACAGATTATCTCATTTTAGACTGTCTCAATAAAAATAGAAATCTAAGATTTTTAGAATTTATATAACTTTGATATTTTAATCAATGACAAGTTGACAACTTTATTCAGCTAAATTCAAGATTTAAAACAATAATTAGAAATATTAATTAATATTGATATTTCTATTGATATTATTAGAAATTACAATTTGAGGCGAGTTTTTCATTCCTTTACCTAAAATTGGATTAAAAAATGTCGTGACCAGAGTCTTTTTTCACTCTAATCAGGTTTTTGGGAATCTGTTATCTGGGAAGAGTCATTGGAGTATCCCAGATTTTTTTTGGAGACCCCCAGATTTTCATCGGAGACCCCAGATTTTCATTGTAGACCCCCATGGAGGGACTGCTCTCAGGGTTTTGTAATTTTTCCCAGGGTCTTTGTTCAGGTATTTGCAGGAAAAAAATCGCAATTTTCAGTCCAAGTAGCCCGTGTCGATCATATAGTCTTAATTAGACAAACTGACGACATTTGTTTTAGCTTAAACATTGAAGATAATTAGTATATGTAAAAAAAAAAATATTTGTTTTAGCTAGATACATAACGGTTTCATTTTAGTTGGTCTAATACATCTTAAAATTTTTATAAGTTATCACATTTCCAAGTTTTTTTGTCAGAAAAATCCGAAAAATCATCAAATTATTGAGATATCTGAAGAAAAGTATGTTTTTTCTTAATCTTACTCCAAAATCCTAGGAGCACTCCAAAACCTTGGGAACAATTTCAACCCCTGAGAGCAGCCACACCTCTGGACTCCCTCCCCCCCATATTTGTATTGGAGACACTTAAGATTTTCATTGGAGACTAAAACTTTTCGTATAATCATATGAGACCCCTTTTCATTTTAAACCCCCAAACGAAAATTAGAGGCTTAAAATGAAAAACTAGGACTGTCCAATGAAAACTTTGGAGTCTCCAATAAAAATTGGGGTTTAAAATGGAAACTTGGGGTATCAGATGAAAAATTTGTGGTCTTCAATAGCACTCTTATGATGATGATTTCTTAACAGACTCTTTTTTTGGACACCCTGTAGTTTTGCACAAGTGTTTAATTCCTTTAATGTGTTTCTTAGAAGTAAAATGAAATGGGATTTGTATTATGTAGTATATTGCGAGATAAGTGCTTTGTTGCTTTCTAGTGCATTATGATTAATAATATTTAAAAAAAATTTAAACAGAAATCTTGACTTATAAAAAGTAATAAACATAACTACAGATATGTATTACATTTAATATTTTTAAAAAAATTATTTGATTTCATTTCTTCTGAAAATTACATAAACGTTTATTGATTTCTCAAGGGGTTTATCCTTTTCAAGAGATTTTTTATATACAAATTAAATATAGAATTTTATATATAATATATTTTGTCAGCAAACATAAAAAGAAAATAATCTATTTTAATTTTCATTTTATCTAATAATTCCGATTTTATTTTTTAAAATTAAATATTTGAAATAAAAAAAAAATCCAAGCATTAAAAACATATGATTTATGCTTTATTTAAAACTAGAATGACAAGATAGGCAATCATAAATTTAAATTCTGACCGTATATCGACAGAGATTTTGCCTGTAAACTGAGGCTAGAAAATCTTCATATCAAGAGCTGCAGAATAGTTTAATTTGGTCGGTAAGGTCTGTTTCTAATTATTTTGATAATGTTGATCTCTCATTCAAAATGTCCAAAAAACCTAAGAAACATTATCAACTTAAATATATTAAATATACAGTTCTCCCAAAAAGTATGAAATAGTAAATATAAAAAGTCTACATTTAATGGGTAAATATGGGAATTTAAGTTCGGATTCACTTTTAACCTCTGTATAGTTTACCGGAGCTGGGAATTCTTGTAGTATGGATATATCGAGACCATTGCTCGATCTTAATCTTTTGTAGATTAATTCAATTTTTATTCCATATCCCACATGGTAATTGTACACGAGAAGAATAACTGAAATGGAGCGATTTATTGACCCTCAAATTAAAATTACCCGCAGTGGATATTGAGATCGAGCTCTCTGGATTATGAGTATCCAACCAACACAAAAGTTCGGAGTTGTTGGAGGATATTTCACATATCTGAAAAAAGCTACGCCATGAGTAGACTTAGGTTAAGTCGAAAATGACAAACACACACTAAGTTTTTGACAGACAAAGGACCACAAGGGCTTCTCCCCCCCCCCCTCCATCCACTCTCCCGAAAAAATGTTTATCATAAGAATGATAAACGGTTTTTTTGTTTACATTCATTGTATAAAGTGGCACTTGAATTTTCTCAGTCCCAGAACACCAGAAATTCTATTTTCATCTTTGAACTTTTAATAATTATTAGTAAAAAGATCAGCGTTAAGTTTAAATTATTATCTATAAATAATATTTTCAATAACTCTACAATAATTGAGAAAAAAAAACATGATTTGTTATATTTTCAAAAAAATATCAGCAACACTTTTCGATTAATTTAGAGGGGAAAAAATTCGTTGTTTAAAACAGAGTCGGATGCTGGATAAGAAAAAATTTCCTGATCAACTTGTTTCTAATTTTCTTTTTCAGATCCAGGACTTGTACGCTTTAATCACATCTCATTGTTGAAAGCAATACGCGTATTATGCTTTACAATAATCTTTTTAACATGTAACAAAAGCATACGTTTTTATTAACAACCAAAATTGTTTATGTAGGAAATAGATTAAACCAAACTAGAGCGCAACTAACACTTTTCTTAGGGTTGGGGGTCATAATAAAGTGATTAATTAAGGGTTTCAAGGAGAAAAAGCAAAATGTTATGATATAATTTATGTTTTAATACAAATGTTTTTTTGTCTTGTGATTTTTTTAAATCTGTACTTCCAAGAGCTGTGCAACTGAAAAGTTTTGTTAAATATTTGCAACAAGTGTCAATTGAATTTAACACTTATTTTTCTGTACTTGCAGTCATTTAGTGTCTTATTTTTCCTTTTTGAATATAATTTTTTGCAGAGGCATATATACACTATAGAGGGGGAGGAAGCGCTATTGGGGATCAAGCGCCCCCCCTGGATCGGTAAAATCTATGGTTTTTAGTGGGGTTTCCGGGTATAACGGGTGTTCAGCCCCCTCCCCCCCCCCCGAAAGAAAAAATATAAGCCCCAGCCCAGCTGGTAATTTCCTATATAATACACCCCTGGTTATCTGTATTCCCATTATGTCTGTTATTTGAAATTTCAGAATTTTTTTCCATTGTCCGCAGCTCCCCCCAAAAGCCACAGGGGGGAATAATTACTTCAATGCCCCCCCCCCTATATACGCCCCTGGTTAAATATCTTATGTGGATTATCTTTCAAGTGAAAATTTAATTGTATTCAAATTGTTATTTTAAACTAAAACTGTGTTTGATGAGAGTGAAGACTGGAAAACTGTGTTTGATGAGATAAAATTTTAATTTACATAAAGCTTTTAAACACGTAAACATGGAAACAACGAGAAGCCGTAAATTTAAAAACTTCCCTTTAATTAATTTAAAACTTTTATCGCGAAAAAAGCTTGTTAACATTTAAAACTTAATTAAAAAGTCGTCTTTACTGTATTGATATAATCATCTACAACTTAGTAAATAAACTGTTTATAGAGGAGAAGAAGGAAGAAGAAGAACTAAAGAGAAGACAGGGAAGTGTTGAAGAAGAGTCTTCTGAATCATCAGTGGAAGAAGAAGAAGAAGAAGAAGATGAGAAAGAGAGAAGGTAGAATTGTTGTTATTACAAGATATCTAATTAATGTATAGTGAGAACCAGAAAACGCTGATATATGAAGACGACTTAAAGATGTTAGGAACTTTCCTTATAAAGGCGTATTCCCAAGCGGCAACTTCCCAAATGTGCAATTCTCCAAGCGACAACTTCCCTAGCTCATCCTAGCCGCAGAGCTCGGCCCCTCAGAAAGCCTAACTTAACCTTTGGGAAGTTGCCGCTTGGGAAATTGCACATTTGGAAAGTTGCCACTTGGAAAATTGAGGTAGTTTGGGAAATTGTAGTAGGATACAACTTTTGTGCACGATAATAATGGAAATTATAATTTATCTTTGTAACCCTGCCTGTACAATATCTGTTGCCTTTATTTGTTCATTTGCTAAAAGGGAAGTTTTATTAGATTTCTCTCATTGTTAAGATCTGATCTTCCTTCACATTTTGATCTAATTTACTTTAATTGATTATTTTCTCAAATAAAAGTATTCTCCTGACTCGTTTATAGAAAAGAATTAAACAATAGAAAACTAAATTTTTAACGGAATTTGTAACAAGTTTCAAAGAAAAGTAAACTCTTTGATCTTTCTTTTATTTCAGCAAATGTGGGCCAACTTTTAGACAATTTGTAAATTTTTTAAAAATTTTTGTTTGGAGTTCGTAACTTTTGTGATTTGTCTGGTGTCAGTTTGTTTTTGAATTGTGTTTTTCCTATGTTTTCTTACAGGGTTAAAATTTGGCAAAGTGTGAGAATACAGTGAAACCCTTAATAACGAATATATCGGAAGAATTTATCAAATGTCGTCTTGACAATTTTTCAATGAATTTTATACTATGTTACGTAAATTTCAGTATTTGCGAAAATAAATAAATAGCCATGAATACGCGGGGACAGTTTTAACTTTTAAAGAGTTCCATATAATCATTTAATTAAAAAAACTAAACATCTGCAACATTCCTTTATCAGAAAGTGAAGAATACGACATTTGATGAATTCTTTCGATGTATTCGTTATTAAGGGTTTCACTGTAGCAAAGGGTCAAATTTTGACCCCGACAGAAGATCCAAAAACTATCAAAAAACGATCTTAAAACGATCTAAAAACGATCGATGCAAAAACTTACGCATCGTAACAACCGTTTTTGGTCCGTTTTTCCATTTTTGCAAAGTTTAATGAAAGCAAACTTTAAGGGACCGTTCACTTATTTGGGTAATTTCATAGTAAACTAAACAGCTGTTAATTGGTATTAGTCTTACTTTTCAAAGGTACTATGGCCGGAGAAAAAGCACAAGCAAAAAATACATTTTTCATGTCAAAACGTTTAAAATGTATATACAAAGACGACGTTCCCTACAGCCGTCAATTATCTTGTGTCTGTCTTTCATTGCCGTCCTTGATTTTTATTCTTTGCTCCTTTTCTTCTCTTTTCCTACATTCTTACTTATATCTCTTTTCCTACATTCTTACTTATATCTCTTTTCCTACATTCTTACTTATATCTCTTTTCCTACATTCTTTGTTACATCTTTTTTCTTACATTTTTACTTATATCTCTTTTCTGTTATCTCCTTTCTCAATCTTTCCTTTACTTTCCTCTTTTTATACTTATTTTCTCTCTACTTTCTCTCCTCCCCCCTCCCCCTCCCTCATCCCCTCCTCACGGAGAGGATTCATTAATTTTCCAATCTTTAGATTTGCATCCTTAATAAATCTTTATATCTTTATACTAAATATCAAATATTACATTTACATTATTCATTTATTTTTATTAATTCAGAAATATGTAATTGTAAGTTATTTAGCATTTTTTTACTATAAAGAATTTTGTATTAGCTTAAGTTTCTAAACTTTTGATAAACAAACTTTTTTTAATCCTAAAAAGCTGGAGTGTTTACGAAAAATGATTGACAAATTTTGATTCGAAGGGATAGGTATTAGTTACCTACGTTACATAAGAGGATATTTTTCGAAATTTTTCGTGTATATTTAACTTAGTTTTATCCTACAGTGAAGTTTTATACTTTATTACGTAAATTTCAGTATTTGCGAAAATAAATAAATAGCCATGAATATGCGCGAACAGTTTTAAAGAGTTCCATATAATCATTTAATTAAAAAACTAAAAATCTGCAACATTCCATTATCAGAAAGTGAAGAATACGACATTTGATGAATTCTTTCGATGTATTCGTTTTAAGGGTTTCACTGTAATAAATTTCATTCTTAACTCTTAATATTTTAGGAATGAACGAGATCTGGGGAATAAAACTTCAAAAAAGGTTATTCTTCACTAAAGATTAATTTTGTAAAAAATACCAAACTTTTTCTTTCTTCATGTTTTCTGATTCAGAAACAGAATTATTTTCTCCTAGGAAATCTTTTCATATTATCACAATAATTATAAAGAGCCAAATATAAAGAAAATAAATCTTGAAACAAAAAGTGACAAACAAGTTGATTACATTTCATCAGAATTAATGAGAAAATATACAATAAAATTGATGAAAGCCTACAAGGTATGAACAGATCTTAAAATCAATATAGGTTTCTGTTTCTGTCGGTGTTCTACTAGAAAAAAAGATGTAGAAGGAATAACTCAATTGAGTCTTTGCCACAAACTCTGGTTTTCAAATCTCTTTATCTATGCAAGAATTGACTTCAGGTCTTTTAAAATATGAATTCTATTGGATTATAAATCGTCTAAGATTACAATTTAATAATAATAGTTAATAAATAATATAGGGATTAGAAAGGTTGAGAAAGGGACTAAATATTGGTCTGAATTCATTTTTAAGCATAGAATGTTAACAATTCGTTTTAAAAGTAATCAGTAATAAGTAAATGGAACCTTAATCTTCTTGGCTTCGACTGAAAGAGAACTCTTTGTTGCCACAAAATACTCAACTCTTGGCCAACTCACTAAATATTGGCCTAAATTCATTTTTTAAGCTTAAAATGTTAACAATTTGTTTATAAAAGTAATCAGTAATAAGTAAACGTAATCCAAATCTTCTTGGCTTCGATTTAAAGATAACTTCTAACTCTTTTAATTTTGCTGATGCGGGATATTTTCTTCTCAAATATTTTTCCTCACATAAAGTGGAAAATGGATATGCTGAAAAAAGTGTTTCTTCCTCTAAACCAGGAAAAATAAATGAGTTTTTTGGTTTAAAAGTATCAAAACAGGTGGAAAAACTTCTTGCCATTTGTCCATTTTTTCATTAAGCCACCTGAGCTGGGAACTTTAGAATGGTGGATATCGGGATTAATGCTTAATCCACTCTTTTTCTTAATCTCCAGATTAAATATTGCTTGTTGTCCTCATGAATTTAATCTCCCGATTAGTTAACAGATCAGGATTAAGGATATCTCATTCTAAAGTTTTCAGCTCAGATCTAATAAGATCATTTAACCTTTCAATAATATACCCCTTTATATGAAGAAGATGTTAATATTTTGAATTTAGATTTTTTGTTTAGAAGACTGGTCAAGAGTTGGAGACGAAGAGTATAAAGAGAAGAGATAAAATTGAAGAACGAAAGGAACCAATAAACAGAAAGGAGACGGGAGCTCCTAAGCCTATCGGAGCAAAGGAGATGGATCGATCTGAGGAACTCCATCGAGCAAGAGAACTGGAGCGAGCAAGGGAGCTAGAGCGAGCAAGGGAGCAAGAGCGAGCAAGGGAGCTAGAGCGTGCAAGGGAGCTAGAGCGAGCAAGGGAGCTAGAGCGATTGCATGAACTGGAGCGACGAGAACGAGAGCTAGAAGCAAGGGAGCGCGATTTGGAGCGAAGATCGTATTCAAGAGAGATTTCTCCTGAGTATACATATAACCTTTACAAATACAGGGTAGGTTCTAAGAGTACAAAGTGTGCGATTAAAGGTACAAAGTAATACAGGCTACAGCGCACAGGATACAAAGTACAAGAAACAGGCTATAGAGTAAGGACACAGAGTGAGTAGAGGGCACAGCGCACAGGGCACAGGGCTCAGATTATAGGTTACAGGATACAGAGCGAGTAGAATGCATAGGTCACAGGGTACAGGTTACAGGACACAGATTACAGGATACATAGTGATCAGAGCCCGAAATTTAAAAGAGTATTGTTGAACCAGACCTCTGAGTTTCCTTCTTGGGGTCTTAATATTTGTATAGATTTTGATTTAAGAAATTCGAAAAAATGGAGAATATGAAGAAATTAAAAAGTAATAATATTTCATAACAAAAATATTGATATCCACAAAATTGCCTAAACCCATCAGGGAAACCCGGGTTCAAAAACCTGTTTTCATAACGATACCCTGTTTTAAGTTTTGGGCTCTGAGGGTATAGAGTAAGGGTTGGGGTACAACTACAGAGCCCGAAATTTAAAAAAGTATCGTTGAATGAAACTCTTGAGTTTCCTTTTTTGGAGTCTTAATATTTTGTAGATTTTGATTTAAGAGATTCAACACAAATGGAGAATATGAAAAAACTAAATGAAAAAAATATTTCATAACAAAACTATTGAAATCCACAAAACTGCCTAACCCCATTCGTAAAACCCGGGTATTAAAACCGGTTTTCATAACTATACCCTGTCTTAAGTATTGGACTCAGGGTACATGGCTCAGGTTAAAGGGTACATGATACAGAGCCCAAAACTTAAGACAGGGTATCGTTATGAAAACCAGTTTTAAAACCCGGGTTTCACAAATGGGGTTAGGCAGTTTTATGAATATCAATATTTTTGTAATAAAATATTATTTTTTTCACTTGATTTATATTCTCCATTTTTTTCGAATCTCTTAAATCAAAATCTACACAAATGTTAAGACCCCAAAAAGGAAACTCGGGAGTTTCGTTCAACGATACTCTTTTAAATTTCGGGCTCAGGGCATTGAGTTTAGGGAATGGGTACAAAGAACAGGTTAAAGACTACAGAATACAGTTTATAAGGCACAGGGTACACAGGATACAGTCTTTAATGTATGGGGTAAACCTTTTAGGTTATATCACTCCTAATAAAGTGTAAACCCTTTTAAGGTATTTAAACACTCCAAGTGCATTTAATTCTACACATTTGAAAAGATGCATTGCAATCACAAACTTTTACCGTACATTATATTCCAACAGTTTTTTATTTTCTACAAAGGGCTATGGCAAAGTTCCGTAAATACACGGAAAATTCTTCTTTAACGAACAAGCTTAAGAAATTCATAAAACTTTTCGTTGTTAAACAGAACAGAAAATTAATGATTGTAAGGTAGTTGACGAAAAATGTCTGGAAATGAGTTTCTGAAAAAAGTTTGTAAGGAAATTATAGCCAAATTAAAGTCTGTATTTCAAGCTGGATATTTGCTAATCTGACATTTATGATATGTTAGTAGAACTATTCTGCATTGATGCATTCAAGGGACTGTTCCCGGTTTAAATCTTCCGAAAATATATTTAATATTTTTTATTTTTTAAGAGTCGGCGAAATTCTGAAATCTCTAACAAGGATTACCCGTACTCAGTCTGCTCTGAGTATACACCATCAACTACTACTATACAGGTATCATGTTCAATGTACAGCGAAACCCTTAATAACGAATACATCAAATGTCATAAGAATTCATCAAATGTCGTATTCTTCACTTTCTGATAATCGAATGTTGCAGATATTTAGTTTTTTAATTAAATGATTATATGAAACTCTTTAAAACTGTTCCCGCATATTCATGGCTATTTATTTATTTTCGCACATACTGAAATTTACGTAATATACAGGGTGTCCCAAAAAAACATGGGAATTCAGTGACGAATTCGAAATCGTCTTTGTTATGAATTAGCATTGTAATACCTAATTTCAAAAGCCATAATATTATTATGTCTGCTGGAGTTTATTTTATGAAAAGGGTAAAAGACTTTAAAGATGTGTCAATAATGTCTCCGCAAGATGAAAAGTGAATTCGGACAAGTTCACTCTGTTTGTATACTGTAATTTTCTTGTTTTACTAAGTACAACCGGTTGCAGTCAAAACATAAACAAACAAAATATAAACATAGCAGACGAAACTCTTACAGATTACCAAAGTGAATAAATACTAAAGTGGAACAGACTAAGGCAACGACGACAGGTTGGGCCATAAGGTTTTATTTGGTTTGGAAATAATTGCATGAAA